ATATTGTTGACTCAAATATTTTAATAAATTATACATTACTCAGATTCAAAATGTTTTTTTGTTTTTATTTCTTGTTTACTCAGACGGTGCCTTGTCAACAATGTTAAAATAAACAATTTAAATATAATATATTTGCTATTTATTTATATATTACCATATACATCCAGTCAAAATCACATATCTCTCGTCCACGTCAGTGGCGTAGGGACTTAAATGCACAATAGCAACTTACAGTTGATCCGAGTTTGAATCCAGCTTTAACCAACTTTGTTCATCTTATTTTCCCCCATCATATAGCTGATCCAAAATGCGTTTATTTTCAATAAAATGAATAAAACATTCGTGGGAAAGGTGGAAATAAAGCTCCAAAATAACTATTTGATAGGTATGTGGGTTGGGGTAGGTGTAGAGAGGACTAATTGTCCCATAAGGCAGCATCCATTTGATAACTTTAATAAATATTTTCATTTTAACTATTGCATTTTTTTTTTTATAATGTAGCCTATAGAGTATCTGCCATTATTTCCACTAAGTATAAATACCATCTATCTACACTTAAATGCAAACATACTGCTATTTTTAAATAGCGTAAATAAAATCAATCGCTATTTGCACTTAGTGTAAATAACAGACTGCTAAATAAAGCTATTTTCACTCTGTGTATATAGAAGTGAATTACACTTGAAATTCGTTTATTTGAGTGATTGTCATTTTCCATAGGAGTGAATGTGCCAAGATAACGTGGGCGTGGTTTGTGAACCATATCACCATGTGAAATCATGTTAAAATGACACTTAAACTGTGTCGCATGCATTAAAACAGGTATTGAGGAAACAACACAGCGTAATAATTGCATCAACATTTATTAAGAACATTAAGAATGTACCAACGTCTTCATTACAGCTTTGCAGTCGCTTTTGACGAATATGGAATGGGACGTAAAATAGCTCACATGCACGCACACATCCCCAGTTAACACGATCCCCAGTTGATCCATAACACCGGCATGCAACAGCTTGTAGTGTATAGTGACTTTTGTTATGTAGCCTAGTTAGTGAGCTGATTTTCTTTCTTTTGAATGAAAATGTTTAGTCAAAGCATGCAAATCCTTAGTTCCCTTTCATGGGAACTTCGAACTGCGTCCTCTAGGGGTCGCTATGGGGAACGCCCTTAAATGCAAATGCTTAGATCTAGTGCCTACTAACCACAAAGGATTGTGGTAGTATCAAAATTATCAAAAAAAAAATGGTAATGCCATAGTTCAGTGTCCAAAACAAGGTGACCACATATGTTGTTGACATTTCCCCCGATTTCCTAATACTTGTGTTGCTCTGTTTATGTCACACTGATATATTAATTTAAAGCATTGTGACACACTCAAAAATGAAAATCATAATTATTTACTCATCTAAAATATATTTTGAAGAATGTTGGCAACCAAACCGTTTCAGTTCCCAGTGGCTTCCAAAAAAATACAATGGAAGTCGATATTAATGGAAACGGTTTGGTTACCAAAATTATTTTTTTATGTTCTAGAAAAAAATTAATTCATACAGGTTTGGAATGACACTAGGGTGTGTACATTACCTAATTTTCATTATTTTTGGGTGAACTCAAATAGACCATTAAAAGCTCACTGTTCATGTGTAACATGTCAAATAATCTCATTATCAAATAATCATTCAGTTTTTTTAGGTAGTAGTTCAGCACTTGGTGGTTTGTGTGTGCGTGGATTTGGATGGACATGATGTTGTATGTTCAGAGTTTTGCAATGTGTTTCAGATTTAATGCAAGTATCCCTGAAAACAACTGAAACCAGCCTAGATTCAAGATTTAATTTGTCACATACAATGTAATATTTATATACATTTATATACACAACAAAGAGTGAAATGTACTAGCATATGATCTGGCATACTCTTATCGACTGTGCAATAAAAGAGATAATGCAAAGTATTTAAACACACACACACACACACACATATATATATATATATATACACACAGTATATATATATATAATATATATATATATATATATATATTATTATTATTTTTATTTTTTTTTTAAACCAGAACTGGCAGTGTGCAGAGATTGAAAAACTAACTAACAGTGTGCAGGGAGGATGAGTTGCATAGATTAATTCAACATAAAGTGCAGAGTGTTACTTATGGAGTGAAAACAGTCTCAATACCTTTGACTAATACGCACAAAAGATCCACACACATGTACAGCAATCCATAAATGCGTGCAAGAGATCCACACTCACATTTGTAAATGCACGCATCTATATAAACAATGTCTTTACTCAAAATACAATCCCCAAATGGACTATTAATGCTTGTAATTCCATGCAGAAAACCAATGTCCATTAAATATCCACACTGTTGTATGTATGGATACTTTTGAGACTGTTGTGCTGTGCCCTTGATTCACAAATACAAACGAGCCAATCTGTCCATACATACCTCTGACATTAGACAATGATATAATATGTGATATGGTGTCTTCCTCAAGAGGGCGCTTGCCGGCCTTCAAGCTGAATCTCCCTTATAGTTCTGCATTATATCTCAGGATGTTTTCTAAAATTACAGAGACAGTGGACTCGAGACCATATAATATTATGTAAACTTCACTAAATATATATATATTTTTTTTATAAATGTAAATATAGAGTAAATCCAAGCCTGAATATGGCTGTTATGTAAATAACCTCATCAATGCTTTTTTAAATGCTTTTCTTAATCTAATGTTCAATCAAAACATTTTTACTCCATATTTACTTGCTCTTGAGGAAGACGCCATATCGCACGTTATATCATTGTCTAATGCCAGAGGTATTTATGGACAGATTGGCTTGTTTGTGTTTGTGAATCAAGGCCGTGGAACAACAGTCTCAAAAGTATCCATACATATAACAGTGTATAACATATAATAGTGCAGACATTTAACAGACATTGATTTTTGTCTTAACAGGCATTGCAAGCATGAATAGACCATTTGTGGATTGTATTTTGAGTAAAGATGTTTATATAGATGTGTGCATTTATGAATAGAGCATGTGTGGATTATTGTGCTCGCGTGTGGATCGCCGTGCACGTGTGTGGATCTTTTGTGCGTATTTGTTGAAGGTATTGAGACTGTTTTCACTTCATAGTTACTGAGTAATTCTACACCACCAAAGCCCCTAAAGTGCAGTGTGTTTTTATGTCCATGTTTAGAAGTCTGATGACCTGAGGGAAGAAGAACAGTGAATTTCCTGGGTGGGTGCAGTCTTTGAGGATCTTAACAGCCCTAGCTTTGCATTGCCTGATATGGATGTGATGCATTTTATTATTTTTTTGGACATGGATGTGATGAGTCCAGGTCAGATCCTCAGTGATGTGCACACCGAGGTATTTGAAGCTGCTCGCTCTCTCCACTGGGGTGGGGTGAGTGGAGTGTAAATCCTCAGCTGCACCCTCAAAGACTGCACCCACCGCCTCCTGAAGTCCACAACCAGCTCCTTGGTTTTGCTGACATTCAGAGAGAGACTGATGTCAGTTTCTCCACCTCATCAAGGTAGGCAGAGATAAGGCCCATCACCACTGTATCATCCACAAACTTGATGATAGAAGTGGAGCTGTGAAAGGCCACACAGTCATAGAGGGAGTAGAGCAGGGGACTCAAAACGCATCCCTTTAGGGGGTCCTGTACTCAGGGTGATGATGTTGGAGGTAGTTTGGCCCACCCTCACTACCTGAGGTCTGCATAAAAGAAAGTCCAGAACCCATTCACAGAGGGGGGCATTTGTCCTCCGATAAGGTGATCGTGCGCTTGTCACTGACACGGCTGTTCCTGTCCTCAGTGCATTTCGACAGACTGTTGGTAATGCCAGAGTGTTTTGCTTCGAAGCGCGCATAAAAGGTGTTCAGCTCATTGGCTAAAGAAGAGTTAGCTCTCACCAGTGTTTTACCCCCCCCTCCGGTTGAATGTTTTGGTACAATTTTGTTTAGACAGACTCTAAGTGCATCATGGAGCTTAGAAAGAAAGAAAGAAACTCATTCAGGTTTAAAACAAATTGAGAGTGAGTAAATGATGACAGAATTTTAATTTTTGGGTTATCTTTCGGTTTAATGTTAATAAAACAAACAAACAAAAAAAAACAAAGAGAAATCACTCACTGCTCTTGACTGAAGAACTTTAATACATTTGCTTTAATAAGAATCAATGTATAATTGATGTTTATAGTGTATATAGCGTTTTGTTAATTCAGTTAAATTCTTGAATTCTACTGCTAAATACACTTACTGTACCTGAAAAATAAAGCACTGTTTGTTTTATTTGTATGTTATGTGTATTTGTAATGTGTATCTTTGTTCTAATTTTTAAAAGCAAAGATAAAATGACAAAGATTTTTATCTTCGCCCACTTTGGCCTAAATGTATTATTTTTTCAATTTTATATTTTGTTACCTTGTAAGGCTTTGTTTTTAAAATAGGGAAATTAGTTTGGCTGTACTGCTCAGACAACTGGCAAAATAGTAAAACCAACATGACAAAGAATCGTAATAAAATCATGAATCGTTGATATTCCTGAAAAAAATAGTTATATGATAATTTTACCACCCCTAGCTGTAAGTAAAAAATAAAAACACAGTCCAAGTGGAGCGACCAGGACAGCGTCCGAACACGGCGGCGCCATCTCTATTGCCTAAGCTTGTTGGCTGGTTTTAGCAGGTCTTCCAGCCTCGCCATAGCTGGTTTAGCAGGCTGGTTTTAGAGGGGTATTGACCACTTCTTTAGCTGGTCAGGCTGGGAGACCAGTTGACAAACCAGCTAAGACTAGCTAAACGGCATAGGCTGTTTTTTTTTCTCCAGTGTGGCTAGAAGGCCGAGCTATCATAGACAGCTGGATACTTCAGAAAAAATACTATGGTATTGTTTTAAAACCATGGTATTACTATTGTGTCGTGTACAAAAAAAAAAAAAGCACTGCAGTATAAAACTTCTTTCCATAGGCACATATCAGCTATCTGGCAGGGTTTTCGAGTGTGGTGGCGAGAGGGCTGTGGGTCTGAGTATGCAATTTATCTGACCCATGACCTCAGCATGCTGCGGCTCATTGAGACTTTCTGTGAGAGCGCGCCACAGCTCACCCTCATGATGTACATCATGCTGCACAGCAACCATGCATGACTGGTCCAGTGTGGGTAACCACTTCTGTTCTAATGATGCTTATAATCAATTCACTATAAAACATATGGCATTCAATCAGCTCAAAAGATGACCGTCCGCATGAGATTCATCCATTGTTTGTTAATACCGTAATTTACATGAAAACCAAAAAAGCTAAGCAAAACTTCCTCCAAATTATGCTCCATTTCCTCTTGACAGTTTGTGGTAAAAAGCATTCCTTCTTAGCTGTAAGTCAATTTTCATCCAGTCTGATCTGAGAACATTGACTCACAGGAAATTCAGAAATGTGTGGTTATCTGACCCACTTACATGGACATTTACAGGTTCAAGATTTTACATTGTAAATCAAAAACCGTACCAATCTACCTCATGTATGTAGTGTGGGGGGATGCTAGAAATCAAAAATGTCAGGGTGACAGTTGTCCTACTATCATAATGAATATCACAATGAAGAACAAAAGCCTCATTAAAAAAGGAATTCTTGAAATAAAGACCTTAAAGGGGTCATATGATGTTGCTAAAAAGAACATTATTTTGTGTATTTGGTGTAATGAAATGTGTTTATGCGGTTTAAGGTTCAAAAAACACATTATTTTCCACATACTGTACATTATTGTTTCTCCTCTATGCCCCGCCTTTCTGAAACGCGTCGATTTTTAGAAAGCTCATCGGTCTGAAAAGCAAGGTGTGCTGTGATTGGCCAGCTATCCAGTGCGTTTTGATTGGCCGAATACCTCAAGCGTATGACGGAAATGTTACGCCCCTACCATACTGTGATGATGCCCTGTCAGGCCGGAGCGATGATTCAAAAGTATGAAAACCCATTATAAACGAGGCATTCGTTGCATCCAGTGGGGACATAATTATGGATTATAATGACTTATACTGTCTTTTTACGCATAAACGTAAAACCATGTCTGCATTCTTTATGCACCAAGAGCTTGTAACACTCCAAAGAGAAAGGAAAAATGTTAATCGCATCATATGACCCCTTTAAGAAGTTTAGCAGATTCTTTTATTATTATAAAATTATTATAAAATTATTTTAATAAAACTGCCTCACTGCATAATAATATTTGAAATACATTAGTAAATTAGTATTAGTAGCAATACAAATTGAACTTAAACTTAAATTTGTACTTAAACTTATTTTTAAATTGAATTCAGTTTTGAATTAAGAAAATGTTCAAGTTTTTTCATCTAATATTTATATTTCATTTTATTTCAAGTTAAGTCAAATTTATTTGTAGAGCGCTTTTTACAATACACATTGTTTCAAAGCATTTTTAAATAAAATTTGTGATGTTCATTTTTATATGTTAATATCTTCATGCCTTAAAGTCACATTTAGCAGATTAGAGTTGGCCGATAATATAGTTAAATTTTGCCATGATGCAAGCAATCAAAGCTGATTTTTTTTTCATATATCAGCAATATCATATATAGGATAGGCCTATATATTGCTCTGCATCAGAATATGAATGTATGTGTAAACAATTTGGACTTTATATAAAGAGTTGGGTGATCAGGTTTATTTCAGCTAACAATAACAACACTTTTACAGCACATGCTATCTATGACCCAGCATTAGAAAACCACTGATGTAAATGAAAGTAAAAGAAACGTACTCGGTTACTAATGTAACCTTGGTTCCCTGATATATGGGAATGAGTACTGCGTCGCTAGAAGCTATGGAAAAAAGTCCTTTTTTCTCCAATACTGAAGCCTTTTTTTAAATAACACAGTGTAACTGCACGACCATAGTTCGTGCAGTGAAATAAAATGAACCAATGGAGAGTCAGCAGAGCTGCTCAAGCCTATGGCCACAAAACCTCAATATAGGTGGGGCCATCTGGCTATATAAGTGGGCATTCTGGCATAGGATCCTCAGGGTACTTCGACTGAAGCAACGACACTGAGTCGTACAGCTCCATAGCACAGCTAGCAACGTAACCGAGTACCTTCTCTTTCGATACTACACTTGTACTGCATCGCTAGAAGCTATTGGAACCAGTACAATCACACCTTGCTATGGAGAGGAACGACTGAAATGTGAACTTTCCTTAAGCACCCAAGGACAAGTATAATAGGGTAAGCCCTTCAATTGGCAACGGGCCAAAGTCACAGAGGTCTCGCCCGGCCTGGGTAATCGTTCCAAGATAAACTCGTACAGCCTTGGCACCTAGGGAGGGCCGAGAGGGTACAAGAAGTAAAGCAATTCTGGCGAGTATGAGCGTGTACGGCCAAACCCAACTCAGAGCTAGTCCCGCCCTCTGGTAGGTGCATGCCAACTATGCAGAAAATACCCTAGCCTGTAAGGCAGGGACATCCAGGTTGTAAAACCTAGCAAATGTGGACAGTGAGGTGGAGTGGGCTCGTACTCCAATGGGGCATTGTAGGCCCAAGAAGAGTATGCTAGCGTAATAGCGTCAACTATCCACCGGGAAAGTCTCTGCTTCGTGTCCGGATTACCTTTGGTGCGGCCACCGAATTAAATAAAGAGCTGTTCTGACTGCCTAAACGGGGCGGAGTGCTCAATGTAAATTCTCAGCGCCCTGACGGGGCAGAGTAAATACAACTGCTGGTCCTTCTCCGAGGGAGGAAGTGCAGAGAGTGTAATGACCTGTGCTCTGAACAGAGTGGAGAGCACTTTAGGTACATAACCATGCCTTGGCTTCAGGGCGACCTTAGAGTCACTTGGCCCGAACTCAAGGCAGGAACAGCTCACAGAGAGCACATGCAAGTCTCCCACTTGCTTGACCGATGCTAAAGCCAGTAGCTGAGTGGTTTTCAGCGACAGGAGCCGAAGGTCGGTTGACAGTAGCAGCTCAAAAGGGAGGGCTCTTAAGAGCTACCAGAACAGTGGGAAGATCCCATGTAGGGACGGTAAAGGAACGAGGTGGGTTCAGCCTCCTGGACCCCTTCAGAAAGTGGACAACTAAGTTGTTCCTGCATAGAGATGAATTTAAGGGCATAGCCTGAGAAACTGTATTTAAAATGCTCTCGGGGAGGTCTGCAGGCACCCATTGAGAGGCCATAGGTGCAGAGCCCACAGCTCTGAATGGGCCACAGGGCTGCAACAAGCAGCCAAGATGGCTCCGAGAACCAATGTTGGTTCCTCCAGAGCGGGGCCACTAGGAGAACCTTCTGTTCTTGCTCCCTGATTTGCCTGATTACCTGAGGGATCAGGGCGATCGGGGAAAGAGCGTAAAGGAGGAGGTTGGGCCAGTCGTGGGCCAACGCATCCTTGTTCTTCGAAAAATAAGTTGGGCAAAGAGAGTTGTCTTCTAAGGTGAAGAGGTCGACCTCTGCCTTCCCAAAGATCTCTCAGATTCTCTGAACCATTTAGAGATGGATCATCCACTCCTCTGAGGGGATGTTGCTCCGAGACAACATGTCTGCTCCTTGGTTCAACTTGCCTGGCACATGCTTTGTTCTCAGCGAACGCAAGTTGAGCTGAGCCCATTACAAGAGGTGCTCCACCAGAATGAAGAGGCGCTTCGAGGTGAGCCCTCCCTGGCGATTTATATAGGACACCACTGTCATGCTGTCCGAGTGGACTAGAATGTGGCGACCCTTTAGGTCTGGCGAGAAGGTCTGAAGGCCCCGACACACTGCTGTAGGGACTTTGTTCTTTAAGCCCAATATCCTGCAGAATCACCACATTCCAGAAGAATCTAAAGATTCTCCCTCCTAATCATTTGCGAGTCGTAAAACTGATCAATGGTTAGCCAAGGTGCCCAATTGTCTTGACCAGTTCCTGTCCCACTCTGCTTATCTTCTCAAGAGATGCATAAAGCAGTGATATACTTAATCCAATCAGGAGGAGAAAGAACTCCCTTTTGTTTGAGAAGCATGTCAGCCACAAATGGTTGCTTGTCACCCGTGATTGCTTTGCATAAATCCACGTAAAGACACAGGAAGAGGGTGATTAACGGGACACTCTCCAAGCCTGCAAAAACAAAGGATCTAAGGAACAGTGATAACGTTTAACCCGAGCAACAGATGGCCCGTGGTACCCATGACCATTTACGCATTAATTGATAATCGAATAAACAAGAGGAAGACAGATCTACATTGACACGTTTGAGCAGGAACCTCACCAGATCTCCACAGCGTGACACTTTCTTGACCTCAGGACATTTGCCCCTTCTTCTCTACACATTCCAGATGTAGTCTCTCAAACAAAAGAACACATGAACTCGATGATTTTTAAAAGACTAACAGTTATTACCGTTGCTACTAGAACAAATGTATTAACAAATAATGTGTTTTATGTCTTTTATATGCTTGATGTGTTTTTGTAACCTATGAAGTTAATCAATGTTTTATAACCCGTTTTAGTAGATAAAGTTACTAATGTGTATGCAAGATACCTGACATTTGATGTTGAACGAAAGCTTGTTTTATTTCCAGAATGTTGACGTGAATGAAAAGTTGGTATTATATACAGTGTTCGTAGTACAACACTTTATTGAAGTTATTAACAAAACTTGCAGAGATATTCCCCACATGGAAGGCTAAGCATCATGTTAATTTATGCACGAAAAAGAAACCATATGGGGCATGGCCCTGCCCTGCAGCAAATATCTGATTGGAACAACGATCTGTGGTTAGGGTTAGGTTAGTACTCAGTTGGCCCACTTAAAACCCAATGTCACGAACTGATTCAGTGCTCTTTTGCCTTTGTTTGATTGCGCTCCAGCCTGCACTCACTCACCACACGATCACGCGATTCGGTCATCCAGAACTCTCAAACACTCAGTGAAGCTTCGTGACCCTGCCGAAATCTTCAAAGTCTAAGCCATTCAATGCAGACTCTCAGAAGAACTTCGAGCACGTCACCCTAAGTAACCAAGCAACCATCCATTCACCGTTGTAAGAAATTAACTCATTTGTAAGGGAATTAATTATTATTATTTCATTCAGGTTTTGAGAGGACTCGGATCTGAAGATTCGAAGTCAACCTGATTAGAACTGATTCCAAATTTGATAATTTACACCTTATCT